ATTCTATTAATGACCAAATGAACAGCCTATGAGGGGGACATCTATCCTTAATGTAACTATACCCTCCTCAGGAGAGTGTCAATATCCCAAACAGTGGGCATTTCAGACACTCACGCTCCAGTGTCAGAAACTATGCTGCTGAACACATGCAGGCATTTGGAAAAGACCATATGTGCACATCTGCATAACTGCTCTACCTCTTATCCTGGAGTCTTGCAGAAACTGTAACAGCCCAAGAGCAAGAGGGGAAATCTAGGAAGAAAGAAGAATGTTCTATAGATACTGTCGCAGAGTATAAAAATTACTGTATTATTAAAACACTACATATCCCCCTCAATTGTCTGTTGTTCCTACCATTTTTTCCAAGAAGAGCTGCTTTTGCTATGTTCTCAACAATGTGTTTTCTTCTGGCTTCTGAAATGTTTAGTAAACAGACAGCCAAACGGAGCCCCAATCTGGAGGAAGACATGCTGATTTTTTTCTAGAATAGGAGAAAAAGGAATCTTCATTTCAGTCTCTACAGTTCATTCATATTTTCATGTTTATTAACCACAAAAAAACAAACAAACATATAGCTCTTTGGAAACCAGTTAGTCATAGTATTAACACTTCATTCCTAGAGAACACCTAAGTGATAAAATCCTCAGATTAACATATCAGGAAACTGTGTATGTGGCCATGCACATATGAACATAGTAACAACACTAGAAAATATCCTTCAAGTCATTCAGCCTGAATTCTGTCCTGTAAGTGAAACTTTCATTAAAGTATGTTATTCTCTTTTAAGCATAGTCTTCCTTAGCTTATCCCTGTTTTCCAGGTCCTCTCTATGTAACAAATAAGCACCATCCTTTTGTTAAATGAGACTTACTGGAGGAATGCAAAAAGGAGGAATGAGGGACATTATTTAATATGCCGATTCTTATAAAAACCATTCCTCTAGCAAAAAGAAATGAAGGGACTGATTTGGGGGCTTTAAGTGACAACTATTTGACTATGTTCTTGTACTTTGATCTCCAAAGTTTCTAAATCAGTTTAAAACCTTTTCACAGGACTCTGTACCTAAAACTGAAAGCTGACATGTACCCTGGTATGTTTCTCAATAATGCCAAAAATGTGACTGATTTCTTTCCTTGAAAATGGATTAATTACACACATTATGGAAGTTGCTTTGATTCTCTTTAGCAGTCTAGAAAGGCATTTTTCAATTCATTATCTTTCCATACTTCAAATGACATAAAATGAAGAAATTTAAATAAATCAAAATAATAAGAAAAAAAAATCCCCCTTTTCCAGATCAGGCCATCATATTTTGGCCTTTTAAATGTCCTATTTAAAAATGAAAGTAGCCCTCATGAATTCATTCAACAAATATCTGACAAAGGTCATTTTGTGTCAGGTAACATTTTCAGTGTGGGGGACAGTTTAGTGAATGGTGTCCAGCTCTGAGACAAACATTAAGCTTATGAGTTTAAGCTTATGAGATTAAGCTAAATGTGCTGGGTGCAAATAAGCGCTCTCCATGAATAAATCCACTGGCTTCCCCTTCACTAGCATTGTTGGCCTAACCATCCTAATCTAGAGGGAGTATGGAGCTCATGGTTAGTTCAGATTTTCATATTGTGACCATCATCGCATCGACAATTCATAAAAATACGGTCATTAGCTTTTTCTAGACATTAATAACATTGTTGTATTAAAGCAGTGCAGACCTCTGGTTTTTATGTAAACAAAAAATTGCTTTACACAAGGGGTGTGGGCGTCTTCTGGCTTTCATTTGTTTTCGGTGTGTTTATGTAGCTTAATTGTCTCATCAGGCACTTTCCCAACATAATTATGCTTTTTAACAAATGGTGTTTATGGCAACCCCTAACAGTGCAAGAGAAAGGATTAGTTTCATCTTCTCATTCCACATTTTGATTCCCTGTGGACAGCTAAATCATACAAACATGGTAGGAAAATCTACCTTCACAGCAAAAGCTGAAATTAGCGGCAGTACCAGGCTTTTGGAGAGCATTCTGGCTTGTTAGTCAAAAGGGTAGGAATTTCTCTCCCTCCTCCTCTAACAAAGTGACCCAGAGCAAGCCCTCCAAACACCTTTGTGGGAGAGGGATCCTACACCTTCCAGCCTTTCAATCATCGTTCGGTGACTTCCGGCGATAGGCCAAAACCTGCCTCGCCCGGGAGGTGCCAGCAGGGCGAGCGCGGGGTGGAGCAGAGCGCGACGGTTCGCCAAGCACCTGCCCCCCTGAGCACGCTCCACCAGCAGCGCTTTTAGGGTCGCAGAGAGACTCGCGCACCAGGGAAGCATGTGCTGGGGCCGGAACCAGTGGCTGGGACCCCTCTGCGCCGCCCCGTCCCGTCCCGGTTCCGGTGTGGAGTGTCCCAGGGCCACGTGGCCCGAGGAGGAACCTGAAGGAGTTGGCAAGGGCCCCGGGGGAGTCCCCGGCCGCCCCCACGAAGTCCGCGGGGAGCACGGTCTCCGAGCGGCGCAGCCCGGGGCCAGCTCGAACCTGCGGCCGCGCGAACGCTCCGCGGCCTGGGAGGGGAACCGACCTGCGCGTGCAGACGGGCGGCGGACCGCGATGGCACCGAGCCCGAGTGGCCGCGCGTGACCGGCGCGCAGCTTCCGCCGCCAGCCCCGCCTCCCGGACGCCCAGGGCGCGCTCCCGCCTGCGTTCTCTCGGGACCCGGACCCTGACCCCGGCCCGGCCCTCCGCCCGTGTGCCCGCGTCCAGGAAAGCGTAAGATTCTCTGCAGCACTGCCTTCTCACCGCCTCTGCTTCATCTTGGAAGTCTCCCCAGTTTTCTTGCAAAGGAAGGGCTTTCTAAAAGGGCATTAGAATCCAATGATGAGGTCATTACCATTGATCATACACCAGCAGGGGGCTCTTCTCTCTGCTTTACCCACGCACGAGCATCCCTTAGGTCAATTTCCTCCTGAGAAATACTGCCCACGAGCACTTGTAAATATGAACTGGACCCACCCCAGGACAAAAGCAGTACTTGCACATGACCATTCAGTCCAAAGTTACAATTAATATGAAGTAAGCATTAAGCATTTCTCTTTTTTCTAGACCAGTGAACGTTGAGAACACATTTCTCTTCCAAAAAAATCAGGACCTGCTTTTTTTTTTTTTAATGTAGCAACGATTAAATGTCACCATTTTGATCCAATTTCATTCCTAAACTGAAGTAATCACTAAATAACTACTTTGACAGAATAAATTAATTTTTAAATCTATTTTTTATTTTCTAATTATACTTTTTAAACACAGATTTGAGGAAATTAACATTTATGTGGACATTTGGTTTCTAGCCTAATGTGGCATAAAAATAAGTAACATAATGAGTGTTAAAAAAAATCAGGTTCATGAAGCTTCTCACATCATCATCATTGTACTTAGATGTCACAACAGTATTATGTGCGATTGTGTCAGATCCAGCCTTCCCCATCTCAGAGTGTTGGCAGGTAGGAGGGTTGTTGGCAAGAGGAGGGGTGTTAACCTCAGGATCCTGGATCCATTCCAAGGCTGGTAATTACATTCTGCCAGCCAAAATTCATCCCATAATTTTAATTGGATAAATCCTTTCTGGCCTAAGCTACTGCTATGCCTGTCAAACTGTTGCCACATTTCACCCCAGAGGTGTCTGTGTTTTAGTTGCAAGAATCAGTCCCTTTGAGGTTGGCTTATCAGTTTAAAATCCTCAAGTGCTTTGGGATCCTATGGAATTAAATATATATGTAAGTATCTTTTCTACTGAATCTGCATAGAAATGTATAAAATAGATAGATAGCCATGATAATACCTAAAGACAAATACCCATCTCATATCAGCAGATAATTTTGAGAACTTTCTAATCAGATTGATGTCCCTAACTTTCTCTTCTTTTCTTTCAGAGCTTTTATTACCTACAGCTTTAGCTTCCAATTTCCAAAAAGTACTCCAGTGTCCACAGTTGACTTCTATGGAGGATGATGGAACTGAAGCCCCTGTATTTCATGTTTCCAAACAATCCTATGATGAGACTACTTGCTAAAATGAAAGAGAGGGTAGTAACATTACATTTCGTCTTATCGTATCCCTCCAGAAAAGAGTGTGACAGCTAGGTCTATGGCTCTAGCTGTAGCAAATGCCAGAACTAGAGCTTCTTCCCCACTTCCCCTCACTGTGAGAATACCTCTCCCTTACAGGCTGCCTGGGCATCAAGTAAGATAATGTTTCTGAAAGCATAAGCACCCAGGAGTTAGCAAACCTTAGTCCCCTTCTCCACTCTACTCGCATCAAACACAAATGAAGAGAAAGCAGCCCCCAACCCCACCCCACCCCACACTCTTCATGGAGGGGCAGCAACTGGCCCTGCCTCAGGACTGTCAGCATGTCTTTTGGGAAAAGACAAGGAGACAGCTATCAGCAAGTCTGATGAGAGGTTTAGTAATAAGATTGAAAGTATTATTTTGTTCTCTTCAAATGGGAAGGTACCCTTGGTGTTAGTTTAGCTCTACCACATGTAATCCTGCCCATTTCATGATTTAAAAGAGCTGTATGTCACATTTACAACATATGCACATCAAGCCTCTCATTTTTTATTTAACTTACCACGTTTGCAGGGATTTTTCATACTTTGGGGGTGAGTGTGTTACTCTGACTCCTTGTTTCTCCCTCTAAACCCATGTTCCAGGCATTAATTCCTTTGCTCACTGTGGTGCCTGTCTAGAAACAGGAGCACTGGAAGAGAGCACAGCTAAAAGTCCAGGATCAGATCTACCAGTGACTGCTGTTTCCTGACACTCCCAATGGTGCCCCGGGAGACAAAGAGGACACTTCATTTTTGTAAGCAGGGAGAATGTAGTTCTTGTAGGAGCCTTCCCTGGCCCATCAATGCTGAGGTGGTAGAAGGGAAAGGGTGTGTTCTATTGTGGTTCCATGGATCCACTGGAACCTGGTGCTACTTGAGCAGAACTGGGACTAGGGTGAGTGAGTGAGACACGTACCTTGGGAGCAAAATTTCAGTGGGTGTCAAAAAACTTGGTAATGTAATACCTTAAAAAATCAAAATTAATGCAAAATTAGAAATCCATAATGAACACAACAGCAACATTTGAAATAAAGACTGGCTTCTACCCTGCAGTTGCTGACTTAGTCTCACTTGCCTCCCCCTGATCCCTGCCCAGTGGTTGCGGTCCCCTTTGTGCCAGCCTGTTTCTGATTGTAGTGTTGAGAGGAAGCTGCACCACTCAGCTCTGCCTGCATCCTCTCTTTGGGTCCCAAAATGGGCAACAAAACCAGAAATGTCAGGGGTAGAAATTTCCAGGCCAGTGGATACATATAATTTATAATCTGTTCAAGAGTTGCCTAGACCTACATATATACACGATTTGACCAACTTACTTTACAGGAAGGCAAAACCTTACTAAAACTGACAAAATAATCAATTCTACTGACCTAATACATTTCAGAATATGATAATTAAGAAGGTTCCTATTGTACTATGGAACTTTGAACATTTTCATTAATGCTATGGGTGTTTTCTGTTTTCATATGCGAGCATCTATGTGTGTTTTGGAAAACATGACCAGAGAATTTCCCTTAGAAGGGCATAAGTCTAATCCTAATGCAATTTTTTTCATTGAAGATTTCACTTTCATCTTCTTGTACTATGTCAGATTTAATTCTACCTCCCACTCTCCTCATAGAACATTAAAAAAATTTATCTTCATATAAATATGGCCTGATAAGTGAAAGATTTTTTAAAGTGACTTTGTCATTTCAAAATAAGTGCAAAAGTGTTTTAATTACTTGTATTAAATTATTTGAATCACATGATATTATGAAATATGTGTTTTATTAGTCATTTTCTAAAATAGCAAATGGGTCTCACTGCTGTCATTTTTAGTTTGGAGTGAGAGAAGCTATGGTATTCATTTATTTTAAATGAAGACAAGGAGCTTGATGTCCAGAAAAAAAGTGATAGCAACTGACAGAAATACCTCTATTGCCCATTCATTTCTGCCCAAATTATGGAAAATGATCTCTAAGCAATTTTTGTCTTAATGCAGGAGGAGAAAAAAAACACATAAAATTTCCAGAATTAACCCTTTTTTCACCTTAAAGTTTGGGAAATGTCTTTCCCTTTTCACAACATAAATTGGATTCTTCCTCTGTAGTCAGCTGATCTCTTTATCATGGAAAACCAGTTGTCTAGAATGGAAGCATAGTTATTAGCTTATGTTGAAATCACTAGATGCATTCTGTTCACTCACACTAGAAATAGCTCATGTAAGCAGCCAATAGTTAAAAGTCTATGAGCTATCCACCCCATAATTCATTCCTTGCGCTTTTTTATACCTTCCACGCGGTCATACAGTGTACACTCCTTTATTCTTGGACCTAGGTAGGCACTAAATGGAATAAAGTATCTCCTGGGGCCTCTTTCTGAAGCTGTTTGTTTGTTTGTTTATTTTTAATAGCTATGAATTATACTGCAGATGAAAAGCAATTCCTAAAACAGACTTTGAATCTTTACTGAACATTTGTTTTAACTTATAGGACTACATAAAGATTATTTCTGAAACTACTGTAATTCACAAAATGTATCTTCTTATATCCAGAAAAAAATGCTGGGAATGTTTAGAAACATTTTCCCCTTAGTAACATACATTTTTGTTGGGTTATGAGGTTTTTATCAATGAATATTTACCTGAAAATTTTAACCAGTGGGTAATAACTGCCAAATTGCATTAAGAAAAATGACACACGTTGTGATATGCAATAGTGTCCAGTCATGCTTGGTGCACCTGTAGGCACTTCTGCATTGTGGTTATTTAATGCCCCATGTATACGCAAGTGAATGCCAGCTCTTACTGACGCGGAGGGTAACGTCTTGTATGAACGGGAGCCAGAGGCCCTGAACAGAAGCACTGCTGTGAGATCTGCATGTCCTCATTCACTCGTGCGCTCAGAGCGGCCCCTGCTTGGAACAGGAAGGAGCCCTTCTGAAGAGAACCACTTCTGCTCTTGGGCGTATGTCCAAGCTCTGTCCCTACTGGACATTCAAATTGGAGGTTGAGTGAAGGTTTTCCTGTTGATTTGTTTGTCTTTTACTGTATATCGCAGTGTTCAAAGGGATTTAATTTTTTAAATGTATTTTAAGTACATGTAAGTAGAAAATGTCTAATTCCTTAGGAAGAAATGGGAAAGATTAATTTTTTGGTGCTGTTGTTTTTCATATTTTCTTTACCCTACCTTGTGCCTCTCAGTTATTATGTTTTTGGGAAGAATTTGAAAGTAAACATGTATAGGCCTCAGCTCAGAAGGGACCCTCGAGATCATCTAGCACCTCCTTGGAGCCTTTGTGCAAACAGCATCGGACTGGAAGAGCTGGGCAGCGAGGTGGGGGCAGAGCCTGTGATAAAGCAGGATGGGGTGGGGGGGGCAGGGCCACGTCCGGCGTCCTGCGTCCTGCGTCCTGCGTCCTGCACTTTATCCCCAGTACACTGCTTCTCCTGTGGCCCCTCTGTGAACACGAAAGTCCTTCTGAAACCCACTGACTGGTTCCACCACACTTCCGGGCTTGAAACCCTTTTTATAAGGTCGTACAAGGTTATTATCTTTCGAAGATTAACCCTCTATCTTGAAACAAGTCCATGATGCTCTCTCAGAATGCAGGCACTATGGGAAATCCACACTACTTTTTACATCATTGGGTGGGTTTTGATAATAATTTTTGTGAAGAAGAATAATTATGAATGGGTATTTATATCTGAAAGAATCCATCAGAGGCTTTAATTAATACTTGAGATAATGTGGCACAGAAACCAGGATAAAGATTTGGAGGAAGGAGAAAAAAGGATTTCAAAATATGCAATCAAATAGAGTAGACAATGACAGTCAGACAACAGGCGAGGAAGAAAGTGGCATAGTCACAGAGTCACTAACCAGTTCAGGAGCCTGTAACACCGCGCTGCCCTTCCCGGGGCCACTTCTAACACCAGTGTTTTCATTTCTCTGTTTGGGGAAACAGGATGACAGTTTTCCTCAGAGGACATTTCTGGTTTTTTTAAATTCAGATATGGAGCCCATCTTTCTATTCTGCAGCAGCCCCCACCCCCATCCAGCTTTTTTTTAATCTCACGTGATGCCAGGCTATCTCTGGGCTTAATTCTTAACGACAGCTGAACTGTCTGTGTCCGTGGGTTTAGCTACCAATATTTTAAAGCTGAATTTAAATTACAAGTATAAACATACTGAGTGAAAATATACAATGAGAATATATTTTGTAAATCACAAATTATATAAAATATAATAGTTACTAATTTTATTCAAGTAAAATCCAAACAGTTGTTAATCTTTGGGTTTTCTTCATTTATTAATGTAAGACATAAAATACTCTATTGTTTTATTTCCCTGAAGTCTAATATTTTAAGTAGTTATTCAAACTATAAAACATAGGTTAAGCCACTTAGATATAACTAGATTATCTAAAACATATTGATAAAAGTACCAATAATAGAGAAGGTTGAGAAAAAATATTTCAAAAATGTATCCTGGGTGTAACCTAAAGTCATTATTGACATTGGAATAAACTAATAGGAAGACTGTATATTCTGCACAATAACTTGATCTTCTTAAGTATTTTCAGCCTTAAAACAAACACCAAATATATTAATAGGAATATATTACATTTGATTCATTATAGTGAAAGTAAATACCTTTGACAATACAATTTTGCATATAAAAAAGATATATGCTTTATAGTGTGATCTTTATCAATAGTTGTAATATAAATCTAAGAATATACAGTATTTAATATATCTAATATATTGACCTTCTAAAGATTTTAAAAGGAAATCTGAAATGTATCTCACCAAATACTTTAACGGTGTGAAACTGAGGCCACATGTCTGACATCAATCTTCTGTTTTATATTTTAAATGCCTGGAGGATAAAGGCCAAGGCCCTAATCATGGTGGTTGGCCCCAGTCTACATTTTTAAGATTTTCTCTTTTTCTTTTCCCAACCTTCCTGCTCACTCTAATCTCATACCACAACAATATACTGTTCACCAAACACACTTTGGACAACTCTATGTCTCTGGCTTTGTTTGTGCTTTGCTCAAGATTTCCTTCTATGACCACCCTCCACCCACCCAATACACAACCTTCACCTATGTGAAGCCTTCCTGAATCTGTCACATTCTCCAGAATTCATCACACTCTTTGTATATTCTCATAACATCTTACACTTACCACTGAAATACTGATCACATATTATTGTAATATTATTTCATAAGTGTCTCTCTCCCCAGTTAGATTGGACAAGAATAGGATAATCCTTGTTTCTGCAATCCCTAGAGCATAGTGCAATCTTGAGTCATAGTAGACACTTTGTAAAAATCTGTTGACGGCATGAATTAATAGGCTGATGGGTGAATAGTGCATAAATGAATGAATGTGTGAACTAATTAATAAATGAACAGACAAACCAAAAAAAGGAGTGAATAAATAGGTCAAGTTTCTCAGGCCTCTGCACTACTGATATCTGGGCAGGACAATTCTTTGTTGTGGAGGTTGTCCTGTGCATTAGTGGCATCCCTGACCTCCACCTACCAGATGCCACTAACACTAGCTTCCACCACACTGTCATCTGTGAAATAAAAAATGTCTTCAGACTTTGCTAAATGTCCCCCAGGGGATAACTTGCCCTTGGTTGACAACAGCTGGATGTAGTAATTTAGGTGTTCAGAGATTAGAGCTCTGGTCTGTGTTTTAGTCCAGTACATTTTACATATGACTTAGCCCTGCTGAGATTCAAATTCAGTTCCCAATCTTCTCAGAAAATATTCTTAAAACCTGATATCAATAACAGAGTTAACAGAAGATTAACTTATGGGATAGAGTATCAAAAAGAAACAACATTAGGAGTAAAGATATGCCCTCCTTATACCAACTACTGTGGTTTACATTGTTGTTGTTTTTTAAATAGCATTTATCTGTAGTCAATGTTATTAAATGGTATTCAATTGGCACTGTCTAAAAATAGCACCTAGAAGGCATATGGTGTTTTAAAAAATTGTAAACACCACTTCATAGCACCATCTTGTGGATTTTAGAGGAATTTGTTAATTCTAGTTTAAAATGTCTATTTTTCCAGAAAAGGAAGAAATGAGAATACAGAAACTATAAACAAAATGAGGATTGTCTTTACTTATTTAAACGTTCTACCGTATTCTGAACTAGGACTTCATGAAGTTTGACTTTGACTTTTGTATGTGCTCAAGATATCTATTTGGCTTCAACTACAGACTCCTCTTAAGCCTTTGGAAAATCAAATAGCCACACACCTACGTCATCATCATGATGTCTGCATCACGTACAGTCAGCAAAGCAGGGGCATAATGCCAACAAGGAAGGCCATTGCAATGAGCCAGTTAATATTTGAATATCCACTTTGAATGTACAGATATAACTTGGAGTTAAAATTCCCTTATGTGCTAGAAGTATTGGAAGAGCAAAGTGCTGTAAAATTAGGGAAGATTGTGAAAGCTAATAACCTTATATAAAAAACCAATAAGAATCTTTAAGTTGATCAATTGAGAAATAGGGAAAGAGATTCACAATAATCTGAATATTATATTTGTTCCTGTACCATGCATCAAACTTTAAAATTTTTAATTATTGAGATTTTTTATTGTAAAAGTGCAAAATAAAGTGTACATTTCATATTTCTTACATCCAAGAAGTTCATTCTATGATGATATCTAACTTTAGCCTTTGAAAATTATTGCTATAATACTACACTGTTTGGTATTCAGCTGAAAGTATATTTATATACCTCTACTCTAAATCAAAAGGAAAGTAAAATGGAAAGGAGATGATATAAAACATAATAGATTTGAAGTTTCTTTCTCTTTTTCAAACATGTGAGTTTTGTTTCTGACTTGAAAGATATTCAGCACAAACTTCCAGGCGCATCACATGCTAAGGGGAGTATGGGGAGCCTACATGGGACTGCAGATATGGATAAAGCGTTTCTACTGCCAGAGGTAATTAAAATATAATTTTATAGACAAAATGTTTCATTGCTATAACTTTTTTTTTGTTTTTCCATCTCAGTACACAATCTCCTTTTCTTCTTCATGAGATAAACTTAGCATAGCCATATAATAAAAGATTTCTTCCTTGATCATCTCTTTTGCTCATCTCCTCAAATGGAAACACCAAGCATTGCCAACCAGGTTCAGACTAGGACAACTGGGTATCCAAGATCCATTCTTCTCTAAGATAAAGGTACCATTACTTTGAGAAATGGGAAAAGGCAAGGTTGTTAAAAAGAGAACTTTTATGCAGGAACTACCACATAATTGTTTTGACTCCAAAGTAATTATTTCATGTTACAGGACAGTGGACTACTTTTCCAACCAATGTGGCTTAAAATAGAGCCCCAGCAGGTGGATCAGAGCAGTAAAATCTAACAACCATGACAATAATTGTAATGGTATTTAACTCTCTTTAATCTACATTATCTCTGTAAGAGGGCAATCAATTCTATGAATAACACATTTTTGGCTTTGAGTGGATACAGAGAGGTCCCTGATTATTCAATATAGCATAGTGGAAAGAACTTTGGACTAAAGATGAAGGAGCACATTTTTATTCCAGGCTGTAACCAAGTGGATAACATTGGACAAACGACTCAGGCTCTCTGTACCTCAGTTCCTATGTCTGTAATATGAGGGAGCTGGACAAGGTATTCTATCATGTCCTTTTCGGCTTTACAGGTTAAGATTCTATGAATGTCCTCTTGGGTGGGAGCACAGCCCGACCTTCATATTCTCCTTTCATATTCCAAGGGCTGATTTGACTAGTGCTGCCCGGCACAGTTTAGGGATCTAACAAGATCACCTCTAATTTCTCCTTCTAGTGATCAAAGGTAGAAGTACTATCTGTTAAGTTTTTTAAACTTTTTTTAATACCATTTATTTTCTATATATACCAATGCTGCAGAAAGAATTTTTACATGTAAGTATTTCCCTCAAATTTCAGAAGATAGCTCCTAATTCTACTATTCAAAAATCTAGGTTGCAATTCTTTGAACCTTTCATATTTTACAGACCACAATCATATATCCCTTTAAAATCTTTTCCAAAGAGGGCCTATGGGACATTTACTCTTTGAGGTGCTAAGTTTTCCACAATCAAAATAAGTTTGGGTCTCACCATTTGGTGTATGTATTGTCTTCTTGGATATTCACAATGGCCATTATAACTAACCATTTTAATGATTATAAAATCCATTTTTATCTTATCTCATTTTCTGATTGTTTTTGTTTTAATTTAGTGGATTTTGGTTTGGTTAATCTGGCAGGATTTGGAGGGATGGGTGGGGAGGGGGGGGAATATCACTTCAGGAAATGGTTTCATCTTTCTAAACCTATCATTTTAACCTGACCAGACACAGATGCCATTCTGGGAAGGTATGATGCTTCTCTGGATCTTCTCCAGCTCCTTTGTTTCCATTGTATTTAATTTCTTCCTAGAAACAAATAAGAACCTCTTACCTTTCTCTTTAACATGAGGATGGCCATGTAATGGATGTTCATGTAATGGATACATGAACTACCTTAGTTAGTTCAATGTTTAGGTCCTCTCAGTGATTCAGGTATCTCTTATTTCATTACTGCACCTATGATTTCAGTATTTGATAAGTTTAATCCAAAGGTAAACTAAAGAACTGTGAGACTATTCTAGTGGGTTCCTTTGTGATACCTTGGCCGAGCATGGTGATGAAAGTCCATGTTCATAGACAATAGTATGGTGATTACAGGGGGTGGGGGCAGAGGAAGTGGAAGAGAGCATAGAGGGAATAAATGGTGATGAAAACATAAATAAAATAAATAAAATGAAATGAAAGTCCATGTTCAATATTCACTGGAATCTAAAGCACTTGAGTATGAGAATGTATATATACATATACATATACATAT